CAAACTATGGCATACCGATCAAGCTTCCAAACTGCTGAAGCATATGGAAATCTTTTTCCAATTTGCTTCCATTTCTCCCATCAGTGGAAGGCACTTATTTTAGAACTTAATTTAAAGTAATTAGCAAGAGAAAACAACTAACTGCTTCAGCGTTCTCCATTCTTTAACCTTTGATGTACTCTTCTCAAGTATACTTCTCCTGTTTATGACAACCATAATTTCTTAGCTCTTCGATTCTTGGCTGCGTCCCCAACCTTCATTGTTCAAATGCTTTTGACAAACATTCTCTTAACCTGCTTAATTATGTCTGCATCTGGTTCCAACAATTAGACATATTCATCGACAATATAAGAGAAGGATTGATAAATTTACCATTCAGGGATTTCTGGACATATCACACAAAAGGATCTGCATCTGTCTTTTTGTTATCCTTGATTTCACACGGAAAGAATCAAACTTTTTATAACCCATTGTCACGGCACTTGTTTCAACCCGTACAAGCTCTTTTTCAAGCGACAAACCAGTTCTCTTTTCTCTCAAAAGTTAAACATAACTTTTGAAGTTAATTCCAACAACTCTACACTAAGACGCTTCTGTTGTGGTGTGCCCACTTAAATGGGACCACATGTGTAAAAGAAAGAAAAGAAAAATTCAAAGTTGATGGCTTTGAAATTTGTTGCACACGGTTTTCACGCCAATGGACCCGTTAGCGGTTTTGGGGAAAAAAAGGGCTTAATTACGCGTTCTCTCAGTCCCTATGAAGTAGAGGTAGCTGCAACTCAACAAAATACACAGCAGGAAAGAAGAAAAAAAAAATGTAAAGAGAGATTATCTAGTTTTAGGAAGGGTTTCTTAAAACTAGGGGAGAGAAAAATAGTGAGGAAATTATTATTTGGGGTGTGTTTTTGGGCAGACACTTTGAGTGCCACTATTTTTGTTATTTACTCTCTTTGTAAGCCTTACTATTTTTAATAATGGAAGAATTATTCGGAGTTTGTTCCGTGGACGTAGCCTAAAACAGTTATAGTGAAACCACGTAGAATTCTATGTGTCAATTTTTAATTATTCCGCTGCGTAATTATTCTCGTAATTTTATTGCCGGGGCCCTAACAAGGACCAACATTCTCCATGAGATGCTAAAGGTATTAACATTGTTCATTACAACTGCAATGGCATTAATCATTTCAGCTCCCAAGTACGTTTTTCACTTCTTGTACTTTAAATTTAATTACTATTTCTCATTGTCACATCTTAGGGCCTAATTACATGCAGTCAAATTATCTTAAATTCTGACCTTACGGATTTTTTTCCCCTTTTGCTTGGTTCCACTATCATCTGTTTCTTGATGTTCTTGTATTCCCTTATTTCTATTTCTGTCCGATTTACCACTCGATGGATAATAAACTACAACTTTGACATTATATTATCAATTTAGGCATTCTTTGAGCCTCATTAGCAATTTCATAACTCCTCTTATGTTGTCATTGAAATTTACCACTGCACCATAGGATTGACAATACACACGTTACTGGATGCTTCCTCTACTTTATAATTGACCCATACTCAGTCTACTTACATTCTCCATTGCTACTCATTGTACTACCATCCTTTCAATGTTAGTTTAGTTTTTGACTCTTGTTTCCCTATCTAACCATTTTCTATTAATTTTTTTATTTATTTTTTTTTTTATTTTTTTTTTTTTTTTAAATTTATTTTTTTTATTTTTTTTTTTTTTTTTTTTTTTTTTTGTAACCTGGAATTGTGGGGTTACAAATTTGAGGTCAGGGTGTAATTCCAAGTTTCTTGAATACTCTTTTACACCCATTAACCTCCTACTCTATTTAGAACTCCAAAATCAATTGTGAAGTTAATTGATCTAACGTCGGATTTGTAGCATATTTCTTCTCAAGGTTCCTTTTCATCAATTGACAAATCTTTTTGGATATTAATTATTTTTTTCCAAAAACTAAAGTATGTTACAGATGAAGATATAAAAAACCCAAATAAAAAAACAAAAAAAACTAATAATGGAAGCTTTTCCTCAAAAGTGGAGATAAAATAGTAATTAAACGAAACAAAATTCAATAAAAATTTCCCATCAAAACAGACAAAAAGATTGTGAATAATAAAGTGAAGAATAACTAAAACCAACACTTACAGGCGGACATTCAACCACTTGTCCATGGTTTGGCAGAAAGGACAACTAAAAACCGGTATCCAGGCTTGGTCCATGCGCTTTTCTTAGGTGGAGCTTTGCTCTTTGACTTCCTTTTCCCCATTGGTCACCGAAGCCTGAAATATCAATCATGAAAGTCAAAACCTCATTATAACACATCTTAGCCCATCACGCAAGCGGAGATTTTGACTACTAAAAGAATTACCATAAACAAAAAGGGGTTTCTCCCCCTTTAACCTTTTTCTATTTTCTTGATTTCGTAAGTGTTATTCTTGGATTTAGCGCAAAGCTACTCTTCAAAAGCAATGGATGTAAACAATTAAATAAAATGTCATCAACAAACTAGGCATACAATTGTTAATCTAATGATAAAACCTTCTGAGTATTGGCCAACTCATATAAAGCATCTCAAAACGAAAATTCAGGAAAGCTGATTACTTCAGTAACCCCTTAAGCAGTTATATGTGTGATTCTAAAAACATGAAGAAGTAGTAAAAACAAAAAAAAATAACCAATAATATAATCATTTGGAAACTGAAGCGTCAACATAGGCGAATACACGATATGCTAAAATCCACATCTCTCATTTTCCTAAATTTTCCCAGAAGCCAATTCAAAGTATAGCTGACTCAACAAAAGCAACTCTTTCTCAAAACAATAGTAGGAAATAAAGGGAAACCTATGTAGTTCGAAAGTAAACAAAGCATAAACCAAGACGGGCAAGAAAAGAAAAAATAACCCTAGAAAGCAAAAGAAAGATTTGCATTCAAATATCAAAAGAGAAATTTAAATAAAGAAAGAAAAACAAACCCCTAATTCGAGAACCATAAACAATAGGGAATTTGATGGGAAGAGAGAGAAATTATGAAATTTGGGAAACGCACCTCTAATCGAGCAGACAAAAAATAAGATTATCGAAAGAGAAGATGGAGCGAGAAAGAAAAAGGAGAAAAAGGGGAAAAATTTCAGAGCGTAGAGACAGTTACAATCTGAAATTTCTGGGACAGCACTCTGCCATTTACCGATATATAAGAACAATCATAAAAAACGGCTGTTGCAATAACGACGTCGTTTCCACATGGATCGGTTATCTAAGGGTGAGCACATTTTCGGCCCCTGAGATTATAGCTTATTAAAAACACTTGCACCCTGTTTTTACTTCACTGTTTCCGTCTAAAAAAAATCAAAAACTTTTAGTTCAAAAAGTGTGTTTTAACTAACGGTATGTTGTTTAAACAGTAACAATTTCGTATGTTTTTAACTAAACCGATGAACATTTTCGCCCAACAAAAATGTGTTTTGCTTACAGACTAGTAACGGTAGACTGTGATTAAAAAAAATGTGTTTATTTAAATTTAAAAAAAAAAAAATTAGGGACGTCATGAAATTTGCTATGTACCGTTTTTCATTCAAAGAAAGTTTACAAAAGTTTTATATTTTCAGCCCATTAAAAATTAAATTCATTTTTTAAAGCAAATTGTGGGCCAATTTTTTTTTAAAAGAAATTAACATTTATTTATAAGTATAATTAATTCTAATCATAATATTTTCATAAAAGAAGTGAAAAACAATATAAATAATTGAAATATTCTGTTTGCCACATTATTCTGATATAATCTTCTAATAGTAAATAATCCTTTTCCTTTGGAGGATTAAAAGAAATTTTTCTGAATTATTTTAGATAATTAAATAAAATAATGTTACACATCATTTTAACAAATTTTGGTATTTCCCTGAAAAACTTTAAATGGCTTGATTTCAAGTATCAAATTCTCTTGCTTTCACCAGCAGAATGGAAGATCTGCCTACCAGATCACTGTTGAAATGGAATTAATTATTGAAATAAGCACTCTCTGCAATTTGTTATTCATAAGGAACACCATTGCTATGAAGACCGTAAGCAGCAGATTTAAGCTTTGCCAGGGCATCTCCCCTCTTTTGTTTCTTTTCTTTTTGCGTTTCTTCTGTTTTAGCTTTCAGTCTCTTCTTTGATCTTTCATGTTCCTTCTTCCCATTCTTTCTGTTTTTCTTGGTTAAAGCAGCATAGCAGCTCCGAGGCATCCTCTATTTTCTGAAACAAACATTCAAGTAGAAAAAGGGAGCGGTAAAGAAAAATTCAGTTACATTTCATTCAACTTGAGAAGATAATAATCTTGCAGCTCTTGTAGAAAGTGCAACAACTATAAAGCATTGTAAGCAAACCCAAATCCCCATGCCTCATGAAATAAGTTACAACAACAGTCAACAGAGTTTAAAGACAAAGTACAACTTGCCAACAAGGGAAAATACATTAAGCACAAATGATAGTGGGAAGATGTAAGGAAAGAAAATTTTATGCTTGCTGCTATGCATAAGTATTGCAGTGCACAAATCACTTTTACAAAAATTAATGGAACTAAAAATTTAGGATTTCAGTGTCTCTAGATCTTAACAAAGTAAAGCTTGGAGTTGGAGTCCTGAATTCAAATATCCTCACTCTTATATACATGAAATTAAAAGCTGTACAACAACAAATTTTAGATAAAAAACTTGCAAATAAACTTTACAAATAAAAGAAAAGTTAATCATTGCTGAGAAACTTACAGAGCAGTGCTCCCCATTCTGTATCTTTGCACCAAGAACAATTCAGCTGCAAGATGCCTAAGTGCCTTCCTGCGCCGCTCCCTGCTTAAACAAAGCCACAATATTTCATTTAGCAACAGGTAGGGAATATAGAAAAAATATAAATTCTATTGGCAAATTTTAGTCACAAAAATAACCAAGTGCCAATTATGAGTACTTGAGAAAGGGGTTGATTACTCTGAAGTATCCCGCAGGTCCTTTTGGATGAGTCAATGCAACGCCTGTTAAAATGGGAAAAAAAAAAAAAAAAAAAAAAAGACTACATATATATAATCATTAGCATCCATTCAACAAATTTCAGGTTTCCTTCCCCCCTTCCCCCCTTCTTTATAAAAAAAAAAAAAAAAAAAAAGAAGATACATATATATAATCATTAGCATCCATTCACAATTTCAGGTTTCCTCCCCCCTTCCCCCCTCTTTATAAACAATTCATAAAACCTTTAGATCATTAGACAAGGCATGCCCCACAAGAACCCTTCCTTTAATCAACTCTGCAACTTTCTTCTGAACAGTTGGGAAATCCTTTGCTGCAAATAACATTAGCAAATTCACAAGATTCAGTAACTCCTAGAGCCTTTAACACTCTCCACAAAAATGATAAATACAGTACTAATTCCTATCATCTAGTATTTTAAGAAACAAGATTATTCTAATGCTATACATAAACTTCAATTATATATTACCAGTGAATCTTGCATTAAATTAGATTATTCTGATCCTTTTTCATAGGAAAATACAGTTTAGAACATCCATTATTCGTGTTAGGGAGGTACAATACATTAAGTTTACAAGATTATATTGTTAGATATGCACTCTCAACTCAATCTTATTTTTTACTTTAGTTGCAATTACAGGCCAGTGAGGCTACTAATTTGCCCTTCATTCTCAAGTACACAGAGAAGCAAGATCACTTTACAGGAATACCTCTATGCTCCACCTGTCCTCAGAGAGAGAGAGAGAGAGAGAGAGAGAAGAAAGAAAATCACTAAATTTTTTAAGGATACTTATCATGATGAAAGGTAAACAAGCAAACCTACAAAAGTTTCCAAATGCTCTGAGTTAACTTGAGCAAAGAATTCAGATCTTGCTCCGAATTATTTTTGGACACTTACTATAAGGAAATTCTAAATATTTCTCAGTGGTTCAGTGTCTTAAGCCAAGAGCAGCAGTGCGAAGAAGTCCATCAAGTCTCAATGCTAGCAATTTGCTTGTGGACAGGGACTAGGAAGAGTTATTGTTTTAGTTCTTTTGGATGTGCTTCTATTTAGGGAGGGAGAGCTACCCCCATTGTGCAACCCAAGTCCAACTGGTATCCCAGTATACAAAAGAAACTAAATTGGAAAAAGCAAAAGAAAAAGAAAAGAATAGGAGCTCCAAATAATAAATAAAATGTTCCACCAGGTCTAAAATTGCCTCCTGCACAAATCTTAAAGCAAGAAAAGAAAGACAAAATCACCTTTCCTCAAATGTTGAGGTCGAATGCCACTAATTCTTGTACGGAAATCAACAACACGTTCTATTGGGCGAACAAACTCATCATATATAACATTTCCCCACTGATTTACCTGTCATTAACTAAAGCAATGTCATTCATCACTAATGTTAAAAGTTAAAACTATATTTTACAATAACCATACATCTAATAAGATGAAGATCTTAAAAGTTACATATCGGACAATGCTATTTTCTCTTTTGTACAATTTGCATGTGTCTCACTTGCCATCTACATGTCTCATGATGTGATCCATCCTTGACCTAAGGAGGGTTATAAAAAGGGGAAGGAATCCTACACTTGTGTGAAGATTTCAACTCCCTAGTATGGTGACATAAGAAATTAAATGCCACCTCCTAGAGGAAGACAAATAGAACTTTAGGATCAGGACTGAACAAGGAGTTCATATCTAGAAATAGATTATTTCTCATTATAAAAAATATAATCATAACATATAAAACACTTATTTTATGCTTTGTTTATTTCTTGCTATTAATTGACAATGGCGGAAATGGCAACAAATGATTCATATAACCAACCCCAAATAATTTGAAACTAAAGCTCAATTGTCGGTGGTGGGGTTGTAATCATAACATATAAAAATGCCTCCGAGTCTCAGTCTATCAGCCATCATACTGATCTTAACAATGTAAAGCAAGAAATGAAAAGACATACTCATAAACGGAAAAGAAGTCCAAAGAAATACCAGGGTTACTCGTCCAAGGGCGCTTTTGTTTCCTTGACCAATGCCTACCATTTCACAATCCATGGCTATTACATCTGTCAAACTGTGATAATTAATTAGCTATTAAGGACATTTAGGACAAGAAAACGACTGAAAAAAATATGGGATTGACTTTAACATCTCAATCAGTAAATTAAAGTAAACAGAGAATATCTGCTGTTAAAATTGCGAAATTGGAATAACAGTACTAGCATTAAAAAATACAAGTCAGGCAATTTCTTTCCCCTTACATTCACCAACAGAAAGTAAGAGGTATTAGCTTCTACAGCAATAAAACCCCGTGGTACCCAACAAGCTGGGAACATACAGAATAAGCATTAAAGCATATGCTGTCTACAATGGCAGCATAAAAAAATTATATAAAAAAAATTTAGCTATGTTCCCAAACAATCGTTTGTACTTGCTGCAGGTCATGCCTCTGGTTAAATTGTTATTGAAGATATAATCACATTTTGACAGGCTCAAGCAACATATAACATGCTACAATAAGGAGCACCTGGAATCATCATTAGTTGGAGCAAGAGGATTTGGCAGAGATTCATCAGATACTGAACTGGGTCTCTCTTTCCGCTTTCCTGCAAAAGAACTTCTAAGATAAACTGAGGAATCACTTATTTTACAAAGTAAAGAATGTTTCTTCTTTTATTATTCTTGATTTTGAAAGGCAAATTCTAAAAGCAGAAAGATCATGTTTGCTTGGTATGATGTAATTAATCTAAATATAATGTAATGAAATAAACTTTTAGCTCATAATTTGTGCTGCATTTTTATTTGATTAAATTTCTTTTATATTCAATTACATCATCCCAAGTTACAAAACATAACCAACTGGAAGTAAAAAGGTGTAATTATAAAGCAAAAATATGCAATCCCCAGGCTAAAATCAACTAGCAAGAAGAGAGGAATGAGAAACCTCTCATATGAAAAATACATCCAACCAAGCAAACAAGCATCACAATATACTACAACAGAAGCTCATTGCATACATTTACACACACGTGTGTGTTGGAAAACTATAGAAGTACTTCAATTGCAAACCGAAGAATCGGTTTACCTAAAACAGATATTTGGGTTTCTGAACTTGAATCATTTGAAGGTCTTGAATGTCTAGAGCCAGAGCTGTTAAGCTTCTGCAAAAACCAAAAACATATGTTGGGAACAAAAACATACACACTGCAACTTTTATAGATATAGTGAAAGAAAGGAAGAATGGAAGAATGGAAGAGAAAGAGAAATGAGATACTTGTTGGAGCTGAGCCCAATTAGGGTTAAGCGGTAACTGCTTCTGCTGCTTAGGGTTTTTCTTCTTCCGTTGCAGGTTTTCCATTCCTTTCTCCTACTGCTGGCTTCAGAAGTATGTCGTTTAATAATAGCATATATATCGACATAAAAAACGACGAGGTTTTGTTCATTACGGAAGTTGGAATTACAAGCTTTGTCTTATTTTATGAAAAAGCCTCATTTTCCTTCAGTCTTTTACTTTTAAGGATGCATTTAGAATTTTAAATTATTTTTTAACATTATATATTTTTAAATGCATCAAGCAAATCAGAATTAAAAAAAATAAATCTTTTAATTTTTTTTTTAAATTGAAAGAAAAATTTTTATATTTATAATTTGAACCATAACATATTCATATTCTTAAAGTGATCTCACGTTACCATTAAATTAATACATTAATTTCGAATTATAATATATAAATTCAATCAATAAACAGCAACTAAAGCACAAATGATTAAGACTTGTATTATTTCAATATAAATTCAATTTATTTAAATAAAAGCTTACTAAAAAAACTTATATCTTCCTTAACCAAGTCAAAAGTAAAATCTTTTTTTTTTTTTTTTTTTTTTTTTTTTTTTTGAGGAAAAAGTAAAATATATTTAAGAATGCAAATTAAAATTACATAATTCCAAAATTCACTTAATAATATTCTACATTATATATTAATATTATATATAAAATTATATAAAATATACAAGTTGGACATTAGAATATGCTACTTTTTGACATGATGGGAGCATCTTTGTTAATGTCCTCTAGGGCAGAATATTCTCAAAGGCTGTGATCCAATAGAACATTGAATCTAATAAAATGATTCTCTCCTAACTTCTAACGCTTTACCAGTTGCTGGAAGTGACATTTTAGTGTGGTAGGACAAGTAAGAATTTTTTTATAAGATGAAGGGAAAATTATTTAAAGAAAAATTCTTAAAATTTCATATTTACATTCGGTGCTTATCTTTTTTAGAATTGATTCATATCTCTTTCTTCCTTTTTTTCTTTCCCTTTTTTTTCCTAAGTTCATATGCATCACATCTCTTTGAATTCTCTTTTCATCCACCATTCATCAAATATCATATATTTTAGGTTATCCTTTTCAAAAAAAATATTTGTAAACTCATGTCTTTTTAGTAGAAAATCTAACCCTTTATTTTTTTTTCTTTTTGTTAAAAGCAAACCATCTTGTTAAGTGTGCTTTCATGAGATCTTTTAATCGCTTAGAATTGAGGGTTAGATGTCATAATTTTTAAAAAATAAAGTAAATTCTCTCGACAGAGAGAATCCTATATTATCTATTAGTTAAAGGTATATATTATTGTGTATTATCAAGATCGAACTTGCATTATCATTTTACAAGGATTGAGGTTGCTTGCCACTGAATCAACACGTGACAACTTTTTTTTTTTTTTTATGAACAGAGATTTTATCATATTTTATGTTCTCTCCTCTTATTTTCATTTTTTGCTCCATCAAAACCTAGCAAGCATGTAAATCACAAGGAAGGTTGGCTCTTGTCTCTTATGGTAGCCCCTTTATCGTTTTTTCTACATCTTTGTTTTATTTATTTTTTCTATGTTCTTTTTGTTGTTTGTCTAATAAATTTCATATTTGTATCTATTTCGAAAAAATATTGAGTTTAGCTAATGTTTTTTTCTTTTATTTCTTATGCTTTATCTTATATCTAATAAGATTTAATCTGTCTCCATCTTTTGCAAAGTGTTTGATGTGTTCTCCATCTTATATATTTTTATTTATGGATAAGTGTGAAATTTTATGGACTAAATGTTAATTTCCGCCTTTTGGAGCATGGTAATGCAACTTATTCCATTATAACCCTATTGATCCATCAAAATTTCACCTCCAAGACAACTAGATCAATCTCAAAGAATGTCCCTATATAGTTTTTTTTTTTTTTTTTTTTTTTTTTTTTTAATAATGCTCCTGTGTTTATTAGCATGTGATATTTACTTTGCCCTTTTTGTTAATTTATTTATACATATATATTATAGTAAATTACAAAATACAAATGAATGTATTAGATAAATTAGTTAATATTGAATAAAAATAAGGGATATTTATTAGTTAATTTGTTTAATAGTATTATAACAAGTATTGATTTTTTTTTTTTTTTTTTTTTTTTTTTTAATAATTGCTCCTGTGTTTATTGCATGTGATATATTACTTTGCCCTTTTGTTAATTTTTTTATACTTTTCTGATAAAAAATACAAAATACAAATGAATGTATAGATAAATTAGTTAATTTGAATAAAAATAAGGGATAATTTATAGTAATTTTTTTAATAGTATTATAACAAGTATTGACTTAAATACAAAAAATCAAGACAAAATAGTTTAATAGATCCAGAACTAAGGAAAAATTAGTGTATTTTAAATAATGCACGGACAAAATAATTAATTTTGATAAAATAAAAAAAACAAAACAATGATTTTCTTTTTTTTTTTTTTTTTAATTTTCTTCTTATGTTGACGTGGGCTCCATAGGGCAAATTCAACAAATCTAAATTAGTTAGGCTTAACCTTCAATTTCACCTTGAACTTCAATTTCATCTTAAATTTTTCAGAATAGTTGTAATTTCACTGTAAATCGACTTTTATACTCTGGATACCCTGAACTTATCAATCTAATTGCAGTTACACTATAATTTGATTTTAGAGTACAATTACACTCTAAAAGTGAATTGCACCACACTGAACTTGTTAATTTATTGCAATTGCACTCTAAAAGTAAACTAAGATTGAAAATTTGATCAAAATAATATAAAAAAAATGAACTCTATGCCCAAGTATTTAAACAATAAATAATAAAATTAAATCTATATAAATGAAAAAATTAAGTCCGAGTATTTGATTTTAAAATTGAACCAGTTTTAAGATGCAAAAATAATGAGTTGGATATTAATTTAAATTATGATGTAATTGTAACTAGTTGATAAGTTCAGGATGTCCATAATACAAAAATCGATTTAAAGTGAAATTGCAACTACTCAAAAAAGATCAGGGTGAAATTAAAGGTTAAACCAAATTAGTTATGACCGACCGAGTTGTCCAATTGTATCTTCCATCAAGTCATTTTTTTTTTTTCATAAAACTTCATTTATTAAAACACTTGGTCGAGGGAAAAAAAATAATGTGACACTACAATAGAAAATTTTAAATAAAAATTCTAAATCCAATTTACAAGTATTCTTTTTAGGATTGATTATATTTGCTGTGTTTGAAATTTTTTAGTTTTTCCTATTTTGTTATTTCAACTTAAATGTTTGAATTAATAATTTAATTTGGTAAATTAAATCTTCAGCCAAAATTTCTCATCTAGAAAACAAAATAATCTATTTTACTAAATTTATTTATTTTTTAAATTGTTATCTTTTTTATTTTTTATCTCTTTTTTTTTATATTGCTTTAGAATTAAAGAAAATTAAAAGTTATTTTTCTGATTTTTTTTAGGAGAGAAGATACATAATTCAATAAGAAAAAGATGAATCGAATAAATATTTATATTTAATTTCATTTATCAGATAAAATGATTTATTTTAATATTTCGGCAAGATAGTCAATTACAAATTTTTTCAATTTAGACATTAAACTAGAAAAATTTAAAAGTAGAGAGACCATAAATACGACTAACCCTTCCTTTTATCATTATCAGCGCAAGGTTAACAGAAAACACATAAAGTACATAAAAAGTAGTATCGGTGCTTCCAAATGGAGCCATATTCCTATAAGACCACTCATGCGTTTGTGTCATTGTGTGTGTGTGAGATAGAGAAAGAACCTGCTCAAAAGGCACAGTTCTCTTGTTTCTTGCATCTCCATATCTGAAGAAGGGATGGGAAGAGGAAAGTTCAAGGGCAAGCCCACCGGTCACCGCCACTTCTCCACCCCTGAAGAACTCGGTACTCCCTCCTTCCTTTTTTTTATTTTTTTATTTTTTATATACCGTTTAATATGTGTATATTTGTATATGCATATAGACATAAACACAAGCACATGCAAAGGTTTTGTGTTATTGGGATAATCTTAGATCTATGATATGTTATTTCCGTTTAATTTTTTTTTTCCAAAGAAAAGTTTGTTTTTTTTATTCTTATTGTTGGAGAAATATTTTAATGTGGATTTTTAGCCACCTTTCCATTTTTTTACTAATATTTACTTAAATCCTGAACTTGTTAAGACTTTGAGAATTTATAGTTATTGATCATTTGATAGAAGAATTTTCTTGCTTTTAGTGATAATATTTACTTTTCTTTAAATTTAGCCTAGAAGGCTAGAACTACAAGATTCATTCAGTTCTTTTGATAATTTTGAACGTGGGTTAAAATGGAAATTTTCCTCAATTTTGTAGTTAAAAATCCATGCCACCAGATGTTTGGTACATGGGTTTCTCAAAGAATGTGAAAATTATGGTGGTTGATTTGTGATTGATAGAAGAATCTTAGTTCTTTAATGGGTGATTGAGAAATTTGCGTTTTGAATAAGCTAAACTATGATCAAATAGGGTTGCTTTGCTCGATGTAATGTTTTCATGTTATTTTTAACTGACTTTTTCTTCTTTTGCTTTTGTGTTTTGTGTAATCTCAGTTGCAGGTATCTCATCTCGTCCACGGACTTTTAAACAGGTAGACCTCTCTGATCGGCTATTATACTTGATATCCATTAGTTGATGCCTTGGCTATGTTATGGATTCTGTGTTGCATACTACGTATGCTATGCTTTCAACTTTAAAGATTGGGTGTAAAACTTGTTTTCTTATGTTAGTTTCCTTTATGTTTCTTCACCAGTTTCTCTGAAAAATTTAACTGTGTTCTATCTTGAAGAAGTTTTAAGTGTTTCTCTGGCATGCTTGAAAATTTATTTTCCATTTGGCAAATGAAGCTGCATGTCTGTAAATAGTTGATAAGATGACAGAGTCATTCTCCTGAGATTTGGCTATCTTTGATAACTTGATCCAGCAACATTAAAGTCCCCGTCATATTCCTTTTCTAATAGTCTTATTCAATTAGTAATTTGCTTCATTTCCTGTCTCCTGCCTACTCTTTGATTTGGGATCCACAAACCAATGCAAATTGATATTCTGATGCCAAGACACCTGCGTTAGTACATAAGCATGAAACATTGAGTACCAACTGCATTGTTTGCAAGTTCGCAAACACTTGCACTGGCACACAAGAATTATGCACTAAGCACCAATTCCAATGTGTTTGCATGTAATACACTCCAGTATATTAAAAGCAATCTTTTCCAATACATCAGGAAGCTAGAGAGGAAGTGGAAGAAGAGTCTGAAGAGGAAGTGGAAGAAGAATCTGAGGTCATTCTACACTTTTGCTCATCAAAATTAAGCAATTTCTCTTTCCTTTTTTGAAAAGCATTTTTCTTCTCTTGGTAGTAATAATTTGAGCTCAATGTACTCTTTGGTTTATCAGAATTATGCAATTTTTTCTTTCATTTTTCTCAAAAGCATTTTTCTTCTCTTGTTATTATTTTGAATGTTTGGCAGAAGCGGAAAGGTGCTGAGGGACTAATTGAGATTGAGAACCCTAATTTAGTAAAACCAAAGAGTTTGAAGGCTAAAGATGTTGACGTAAGCTTGTCATATGTTCTCTGCTGCACACCTTGTCAGTATTGTTGATTTATAACTATATATTTGAGTTTACCGATTCAAATTTCATTTTCTAGATGGGAAAAACAACTGAACTCTCAAGGCGTGAAAGGTTAGCTTTCGTTCTTGCTTCAGATAATAGTTTCCAAAAGGTGCTTTTGTTATGCAACTAATAACAGGTTGTTTGTGGAAGTTGGCATTGTATGTAATTACTTCATTACCTTATTTTTCATTGTTTTTGCAATTTTTTTTTTTTTTACTGAATATATTTTTAACAGTAGCAATTTGGTTTTTGTGGTGATACATATAACTATACATTTCATGCATTAGGCCCCATAATATGTGGAAGATGCAAAGGGTTATTAGTTGTTGATGTTGTCCTTTTTAAATTGTGAGGCCATGTCATGCATATTTGTTATTACAATTTAGCAACTCAAAAGCTCCATATTCTGATATTCTTAATCTACTCTCAGTTTTCTCTCTCTCTCTCTCTCTCTCTCTCTCTCTCTTTGTTGGTGGGGGGGGAGGGTGGCATCTGGGGAGGGAGCAACAAACATCATCGCTCTTTCTTTTTGTTTTGTGATGTTTTCGTCTGCATTACATACTACATAGTGCAGTAGAAGGTGAAGAAAGGACCGAGGAGCCCTTATGCAAAGTCATGCTATTGGCAACTCTTTAACAACTTCAAAATGCATAGTTGGTATAATTCAGATGTCAAATTGTGGAAGGGACCAAGTTCTTCACTAGTTCAGTCGTCTATGAATAGAGAAAACTAAACAAGAAAATTTATGAATCAATTTGTAGCTAAAAATCTACATTGATGACTCAATTGGAATTGCTTCTCATAGAAACATGGGTGAACTAATATAGATTAGATGAACAGCCAAATTAGGTCTGAGACCAAAAAGTTCTTTTGTTTCAAAATACATTTTCAATTTGTTGAGATATGCTTTTATCCTTAAGTAGTGGTTAACAGAAAATTATATCCAATCTTGTCTTCTTTTTGTTTGTTCTGAGACTTAAACCATAAACCTAAATATACATTCCATTATGATTTACTAAATGTAGCCTGAATGTTTAGTTCTTTGGCTGTATTGGATGTTTTCAAGGCTTGAATTGTTTTCTGCTTCTGGATTGTGGGTGTGATAACGAACCTTAGTGTATTAATGACATAAATTTCTTTACTTGTGTGTTTTTTATTAAAAATAAAATAGCATGGTTCTGAAGCTGATTTGTTAAGGTTTATTACTGCTGTTTTTTCTTCGTCTTTCAATCGAGTTTTCAAGTGCTGATTAGGTGATTCTGTTGTTGCCTTATCTTTTAATATTTTGTTTGCAGAGAAGAGATAGAAAAACAAAAGGCACATGAACGATATATGAGGCTGCAGGAACAGGGAAAAACTGAACAAGCAAGGAAAGATTTGGGTAAGAATTGGACACTGATAATATATTACTACCTACTAATCTTTTTTTCCAACATTTTTATGACGGAGACTTTCAAAATTAATGGTTTTGACTGATAACATTGAAATGTAAATTTGACTTGTTACAGTCCTATAAAATGGTGATATAATTTCAAATTCCCCATTACTTTTGCTGCTCATATATTGATTTACTAATTACTAATTGATGACGCTAGATGGATGTAATTCATGCCATTTGCTATGTTCTTTTTTTTTTTTTTTTTTTTTTTTATTGTTTTGTGTTTATAATAAAAATTAAAAAGTTAGTGTAAATGGTTTCCTGAAAACGAGCTGTGAAGATTTATAAGGGGTATAGAAGTTTCAGGGCCTTGAAAAACATTAAGGCTTTTCCTAAGGGTTGGTATGGCCCTAATCGATTTGATTTTTCTTTTTGGTCCCAGAGTGCCTTTTTCAAAAATGTCTGATTGTTTTTCATAGGTTCTGCTCTGAATGTATGTCACAAAGTATATGTATTATCTGTGGATTATGATTATGGCCACATGAAAAAGGAGCACAGAGATCAGAGAGAGAATGTGTAAGTCTATTTAATTGTGGCTTTGGTTATTGGCACACGCAGAGAGAAAAAGGCATGGAGTGATGGAAAAAAAGAAACGAGAATAAGGGTCAATCATGAATCGAGTCTTTGATAATGGGAAAAGTGGCTCGAACGAAACCAAGTGTGTAAATAATTTACGACTAGAACTTAAAGCAAAAAAAGAATTAATGGGTAAACAAAAGAAGAGATAAGAACAGGATCTTGAATTACTTATACTAATTACCTAACTCCTTCTATTCACTTAACTATTACAAATTTCTTTTTTCCAACTAAACTTTAGGTGTGCATATCTCATAATGGATCGTAAATGCTTCATAAAAAAATGTAGATTGGAGGTTTATTAGAGACGTAGAGTATAACATTGAAATATTTTGAAACTTGTTAAGTCTATAAAATGGTGATATAGATTGTTCGCAAGTTTCGCACGCTCACATTCTACTCTTGTTGGCTGGGTCGTTACAGTGGAAAGTTATTAGAGTTGATGTTACTAATTACTGACAAAGTTGAAACTGGCGTGACGGGAGCATAGAGGCAACGTTATGGATTGTTAATAAGTTCATGCCTACATGTTGCTCTATTGTTTTGTAGTATAAATCTTTTGTATGTTCTTTTTTGTTTCTATTTTTTGAGGAAACAGGAAAAAAAGGTAATAAAAGGCGGAATGATGAAAGACCTCTTGAAAGGGTTCCTCTTCTCTCAATCTTTCACCACAATTCATACCTCAGTACAGTTATTTTTTGCCTTTATTGAGACACTATTCTATACAAAAAAAGTTATATTTACTTTTGGCTTTCTGTATACCCAATTGTCTCAACAGTCCTATGTTATTTCAAGGAGACTATAAAGAAAAACCATCACATTCTTCTCGTTCTTAGATTGCAATAAGAACAGTTTTTTGTATGGAGAAGAATAGATGCAAAATTGGAGTTTGGGAGTAAGCACAATTTTGGCCTTACCCGTTCTTCCTACAGTGTAAACCACAGATTGGTTCATGCTGCCATATGAGTGGAAATTAGTAATTGATGGGGTATAAATGACCTGGAGTTCTCACGTTCCTATATATCCAGTCTGATTTCACTCCCATTGTACTCAACCCAATATATTTAGATAGCCAAGATTTGATATATTTGATTTGCTGAAAACCGCTCTTATTCGTGGAGCCAAGCCCTCACGGGAGAGATTTTATTTTGGGACATCATCTCGCTTGTAATGCCAATTCGCCCACTCTTGAAAGAGGGGCTCCCAAGTCATAATAGGTATGTAGGGTGGAATTTTCCTAAAAATGATTAATGGAGGATTTGAAGGCTTGATATAACCAGTTATATATTAATGGTATTCTTTTTGTTTTGTTTTCCGAGTTTTCTTTGTGGCCTGCACTCCAAATATTCTATTTCTTCATTTAGTTTAGTTATCAGAAAACGAGCTGATAGCGGAGTGTGATGGACCTACTATTGTGGGAGAGGATGAGTTTTAGAAGTAGTCCGCAAGTGCCCTATAAATGCAAAAATATGCCGAATCAAGGTGGACTCGCCATTAGAATAAAAAATCACCCAAGGGATCACACCGGTGTTTGTAAAGTACACTATAGACACCTGTGCATATTGCTTTAGACCCATAAAATTAGTTAACGTCATACTCTTCCGATAACGTTCCAGAGGAATAATTACTTGCGCTTGAGATGGACTGAAATCTGAAGTACGATTTTCTTGTGCCCTCTTGGACAAACCCTTACCATCCACTGGATGTGAAGGAGAAAGTATTGTTCGTTATTGGTCCTATATCACGCCTGCACCCAAGGATGGCGGGGGCCTTCAAATGAAATGGTGAAGCCAAATCTATCAAGATTTGAGTGTTACAGAACTTTCATTATCAAGAACTCTGCCAAGATGTTTAGTGCTGGTTTTTACTTATAATTTCTTTTACTAAGTAGGCACAGACAGCAATAACACCAGGCTTCAGTAACGAAAATGAACTTTCTTTTTTTGCCAGTTTAAATGGCCTTGTCAAGCCTGTTTGTTTTAATTGTTTTTTCTCAAAGACCACTATGAATTGTTCCTCATGTTAGCTATACTTCCTTCTGTTGGGAACGGGTGACATAGTACTTTTTCATCTAAGGACACTAATGAGAGCCGGTCACAAAACATCCTGCTATGAAAAAAATTCTTCTTTGCCACTCAATGAGTTCTTGTGGGTCACACTCCATTTAGCCTTGTCTTTATACAATTAGCTCGCCCATTTTTTATAATTAGATTCATGTTAGTTAATTTTCATTTCCTGATGTTTCTTTGTATGCAAACTGTACTCTGCTTGGCTTTTCCTTGCTTTTAATCTTTTGTGCCTTTTTTTTTTTTTTTTTTCCCTAGAGGCTTCTCCTTTTCTGAATATTGCATTAATCTGAATATAAACGTTGCAACTTGCATAGCGGCTTGGGCTTGGATAAGGAACACAGGGCAGAGGCTGCAAAAGAAACGAAGATGAAGAGAAGGCTGGTATGAAAATTCTTCCCATTGAACATAGAGAAATAATGCTAATGCTATATATGTTTTCTAATGCCTAAGTTCCATTTTTTCTGGTAGCCAAAGAAAGAAGAAAGCAAGAAGTCGCAAGTAAGCAAGTTACAAGAAGCATCGTTGCATTCGTTCTTGGTTTGTATTTTTTTCTGTCTAAGATTTAACCTTACTCTTTGTAAACTAAAGGCATGATCCAACCTGCATCACACCGACCGATTTTTCTTCACACTTCGTGCCCACGCAGTCCGTGCGGCACCAAAATTTTTTTTTTTTTTTTTCCCTAGAGGCTTCTCCTTTTCATGATATCATTAATCTGATATAACGTTGCACTTGCAGAGCGCTTGGCCTTGATAAGGCAACAAAGGGCAGAGGCTGCAAAGAAACGAGATGAAGAGAAGGCTGGTATGATTCTTCCCATTGAATAGGAATAATGCTAATGCTATATATGTTTTTCTAATGCTAGTTCCATTTTTTCTGTCAGCCAAAGAACAGAAGAAAGCAGAAGCTCGCAAGTAAGCAAGTTACAAGAAGCTCGTTGCATCGTTCTTGGTTTGTTTTTCTGTCTAAGATATTTAACCTTACTCTTGTAAACTAAAGCATATCCAACCATCCGTCTCGCCCACCGACCAAAAGAACAAACAGAATTATTCAGGAATTCTTGAAATTACTGCAGTTCAGTTTTGTTCTATAAGCATCTCATATCGACAAACCAACTATTAATGTATTTTTATCAAGGAAATTGATCTGGATGAGTCTCTTGGTCTTGTCTACTGAAATGTGAGAGGTGAAAGACGATCTTTATTAGTAATATACTAACAATTATTATTATCTTTCAACAGTATTATCGTTTTATAATAATAATAATTATTATTATTAATGTATTATGAAAAAATTGACAGTAACATTTGTAGTATAAATTATTCATTTGATTTGGTTATAACCAAATACCGAACCAAAAATACTCGGCTGGATTATGTTTGGTTGGATTTTATAGGTGTAAAAAATTTAATAAAATTCAATTTGGTCACAATTCACCTTTCAAGAAAAAAAAAACAAAGTTTGACCCAATTATATGCAACTTCTCCCTGGCCCTGGTACTTTTGTCCTGGTTCTGTCGATTCAACCGGTCTGACTCGGCCAGAAATCAACCAAAAAATAATAAAAATAGCAAATAAGTTGTAAACATTACAAATAAGTAAAGATAACCAACAAATTAAAAGAAACAACATTAATTGTTTTAAAGATAAAAAAAAAAAAATCATAATAGATTGGACTAAATTGATCACTAAACTGGTTTTTGTTACGTAGCCTATTAACCGGTTCAGGTTTAATCATCTTATCGACTGGTTTGGTTTGATTTCCAAACAATTGTTTCTGGGAGTACAGGGTTCAGTGCATTAAGATCTGTTATCTGTCCACTTTTATTAATCAAAATAATAATGGAAAATCATTGGAGGAAGTTGGTAATGGTTTAGTTCATTAATTCTTAAACCTTTCTAACCAGAAAAAAAAAAATGGAGAAAGGAAGCTCAAACCGGAGCCGCCAGTTTTAGTTTTTAAAAAAATAAAAATCAAAACAGAATCTTAAATGTATGGTTTTGATTATAGTTTAAAAACAGAACCATTGACCATAGTTTAGCACCAGTTTTGAACTTATAAACATGGACGTTGTACACTCCAATGGACTAGTATTTTAAGAGACGATAGCGGTCCCTTGACAATTAGGATTAGGATGTTGGTGCAGGTGGCTTATGAGATTGAAAAAAGCCAGCACCTTGTTGTTTTGGGCGTAAGATAGTTAAAGAATCAAGGCTTAACCTGCCATCTGAAGAAAATTACAAGCTGGAAAAGGAAGATACCTTAACAATTAGGCTTGTTGTGGGCGACTAGATGCTTTTAATCAAGGCATTAACTAACTTGCTACAAAAGCCTTGGCTTTTTGCAGATTTTATCAGCTCAATTTTGCATTTTGCAAGGAGAAAAAAGGAACATATCATGCACATGTGAATTCTGAATTTTTTTTTTTTAAAAAAATTGTAATTATTTGCATCTTCTAATGTTTGATTGTTAGGTAAATGTGTATGTATTATTTGCACGTGTCATTTGATCGATTAATTTTCCCAAATCCCAAGTGCGTGCTAGTGAATTTCCACGTGTCACTTTTTCAAAATAAACAAAGGCCAAAGAAAATTATATTTAAGGACATACACAATAAACAAAGGCCAATGAATTTACTTGTTTGTAATAATTTATCGCTAATAATGGTTGTTGATAAATTGATAGCTGACATTTTTAATTCGTTATGAGGGACAAGGGGTTGAGGAATATTGTGAGCTATATAATGTAGATGATCTTTCCTGCTAATTAAATTGGTGAAAACTTTTTTGATCGAAAGGTTTCGAATCTAAAGTGAGAAAATTAACTAGATAACATTGGCATAAGTGGCTTTAGAGTTAAGATGCTTTATCTAAAATGTTTATCTCCCTACATAAGTGAGATAACCGACTCGATCACATTGACATAGGTGGCTTTGGGGTCAAGAGATTTTGAATCTGAAATATCCAACTCCCTACATAAATGAGAAAGAAAATCAACTGGATCACATTGACATAGATAGCTTTTTATTTTTTTTAAAGGAAAATATAGCAAATTTTATAAAGATGAAACCAAACTATTGTTCAAAACACAAGGAAGAATAGAAGGAAAAATCTCCTCAATCCACACATAAATAGCTACTTTAGCTAGGGAGTGAGCTACCTATAAGGATGGTCACAGTTTCGGAACTCAATCGAAAATCGACAGTTCCAATTATAATTTAGAACCGAACGGTTCTGGTTTATTAATGGTTCTAAAACCGACAGTTCCGGTCGATTTTCCAGCGAATCGCATGATTATAAAATGAAAAATTACAAAATATTTTTTCTTGAAAATTTAAAAATTTGTGAAATAATTTCTAAAAAAATTGTAAGAAAAAAATTAAAAATTGCTTGAACTTTTTTTTTTTTAAAAAAAGGCTTAAACTTAATTTTTTTTTAAAAAAAAAGTCTTCAAATTTAATCTTTTTTTTTTTTTTTTAAAAAAAAGCTGGAACTTTTTTTTTTTAATGGCTTGAACTTAATTTTTCAAAAATTAAGTTGCTTACATATCCTCTTGGACTTTAGAGAAATCAAAACCCACGTAGTTTCTACTTACGTTGAACCAATTTGACTCTTTTTACTTTACTTAGTCGCTATTTTCACTAGTTGATGTTCTCGTTGAAGACCCATAGTAAAGATCAAATAAATCTTCATTTTCTTTGATATTCTCTTGTGCTCTTAATTCAGCCTTGCTCCAATCATCTATGCATGGTTGCGCTTCTAGTGAATCAAATTGTTATCATAGATTGTGTTTCATCAAGTATGTTTCCTCGTTGATTAAAAGCTTGTTCAACTGCAACAGTCGAGACCAGAGCTGCTAAAACTTGTTTTGCAATTAGTGCAAGGGTTGGAAATTTATTAGCGTAACGACTCCACCAATCTAGAATTGGAAAATTATTATCTCCAAAAGTATCACCAAACTTCAAAACAGTAGTAAGATAATTATTAAGTTCGGGAAAAGAACCTGATTTCCTATGTCTGTTTTTGTCTTTATAATAATATACCTTTAGCAACACCAATACTTAACTTTTCAGTTGGGAATGATTGATTATTAAATTGAGAACAATTAGAAGAAGTAGATGAATTAGAATATTCAATAAATTCAATATATAATCCTATAATTCTAGAATATTCAACAAATTCAATATATAATTTTATTTGGATATCCCTCAAGATCAAATTAGTTGGGAGTGAAATTGAAGATGTAGTTCCTAGGCATAGATGAATTTTGTGTTTTTTCAATCTTTCCCTTATCCTTACCAGAACTTGAGTTTTCTCTACTTGCCATTATAGAAAAATAATATATAACTTGAAAAATTGAATAAAAAAAATTAGAGAGAATAATTAGAGATTGGAATTTGGAGAAATTAATTAATAATAATTTAAACAAATAATTGGAGATTAGACTTTAGAGAAATTATTTTACAATATTTTGGACAACAATTTATAAATAAAAATTAGAGAGATTGTAGAGTAGACAGAGTAAATATAATTTTGTGTGAAGAGATTGTAAATGGAAATAAGTATTTATAATAAATCCAAAAAATCAATTGTTCACAAATACCCTTAAAACTAATCGTTATATAGTCGTTTATTGTTATTAGGAAGGTTAATTTGGAGATTTCATAAAATTATTTACAAAAAAAAATTGCTGAAATCGGATGGAACCGTCAGTTCTAGCCGTTTGATAGAAAATTCAAATTTTACTTGGAACCGTCGGTTGGAACATCGGTTTTAACTGGCTAAAAAGACCGTTGGCTTCGGTTAGTTTCGGCCAGTTTTTGGAATCGCCAATTCACGGTTCCAAAAATGGTGGAACCAGAACTGGACTGTAGGCCACCAGTTCTGGTTTCCACTGGTTTCGAACCGACGATTTCAATTTCGAAAACCGAAAAATGGTCATCCCTAGCTACCTATTGGCTTCTTTAACCACATGAGAAGAAGAAAAGAGAGTACATTGACTAGTGAGCAATAAACATCTCAGTATCCCAGTTCCAAAATTGTTACAAGGTACCTCCCACTGCTGTAAATGATTGGCCATTGTACTGCAATTTGTTTCAAATGCCAGCGAAGTAAAACCAAGCTCCAAAGCTTTCTCTATTCCAAAATAAGTAGCTTTTGTTCCAGCTTCAACTAGTGGTAGGAGACTGTTGACTCTTAACGCACCTGTCGCTATAACTGCACGTTGCTATTTCGAATTATAAAGCCATAACCACAGTTGCGTCAATTCCTACTACTGCATCGCAATTCAATTTGACTTGCCCATCAGAAGGCGACTTCCATTTAACTGTAGATCGTATAGCTGATGCACTACCACCACTACGTATTTGTTGACCATAATCAATCCACAACCCCATCACCATTGCCAACACCTGTATATCTGACAAGACCCTGTGTTGATGGAATAATACATTCCGACCTTTCCAGATGGCCCATTAAACCATGCAAAAAAGCTCTACTTGCTCTAACGCGGAACCCAATGGAAATAAATTCCATGAACTCTATGACAAGTTTTGGAAGAGATCTAAGATCTAAGATCTAAATAAGCTCCCCTCTATGGCACCCAAAGCTTAAAGAAGCAAGAACACCAATAATAGAGTAAAAGAATAAGATAAACGCCACAAAGAATTGATAAGGAGGTATAGTAAACCAGATATTGTTTCATGAAATTAATAAAATTTGATTGTTAATGTATGTAAGTTAGAATTTGATAAATAATTGAAATTTATATTATCTTTATACACGAATCCTTACACCACAAAAATAATCAATATGTTTTTTCTACCACTAAAAATACCTTCAACTCCTTAAAAAAACTAATCTGTTTTATTATTGGATATAATGTTATTTTAGTGTAAGTGTTTACAATTGGAGTATTTCAATTTAAAAAATTCCCTCATTATTTTCAACGAAAAAAATTTTAGAAATCTACGAATAAGAATCGGTCAATAGGAAACCGAGAGTACAGTTTCTATGCCGTTTGATAGAAATTCATATACCGTTAATAAACTATAAACACCGAATGGCTGTGTTGTATTTCATATTCTAGGTATATTAAAAAAACACTGGCTAAAAAGACCGTTGGCTTCGGTTAAGTCTGCTTACGTTGAGGTTCCGAAAGTTTTGGAATTGTTCGTATTAATTTGCTTACCATCCAATATGATCTCAGAAGATTCCAGTAAACAATTGGAGTCGAGAAA